ATTTTTCAATGGAAACATTCCCCTAAAACCCATTTGTTTCTCCCTCTGGAGCAGTAGAAGATGATGAAATGAAAAAAGAGAAAAAAAAAAAAGACATGACTTGAAGACAGTATTTAACCATCCCTTTTCTGAGATATTTTACTGGTCTCCAAAGATAATGAGCTAAAGCCTCTGTCCTTAAAGACTGCTTTCTGGGAGGGGACCAGGGCCTGATGTGCATGGAGATGCTGGAGGCCTGGATGGGGACTTGGCTGTGGGACCCAGGGAAGGGCTTCACTCTCTTCCCACCCCGACAGGGAGATTTTTTTTTTTTTCTCCCTTTTTCTCTCCATGGAAACAAACAATCTCTGACTCTTGTCACTCGGAGAAGACTACACAGCAACGTGGCTTGTTTACTCGCTGTTGTCTTCGGTGGATTGAAGCTGTGTGGCCTTGTCCTTGTTCCAGGAAATGCATGGACATAGCTGTCTGAAGGAAAACCCTAATGATTGTATAGTTTTCAGTGCTGAGTGGCAGTTAGCCACCTCGCTTTTATTGTTAACAGATTACAGTGTTGCCTCACTGCTCTGTGCCACACACCACGCTGTGACTAATATCATTCAACAAAAGAAAAGCGCCTCCAAAGTGACCATGTTCTCGAGCTCTAATGGATCTGGTAGAGGCTCCATTCATCCGATACTGTTTTCTCTCCGCATCTCTCCCACAAGCGAGGATAGGAAGAGGGGCAGAAGCACCCCAGGAAGCTCACGCCCGTGATGTGACACCTAGGGTGGTCGCTGCTGGATCCCACACCCTCGCAGCTGCCATGAGAGTGGAGCTGGGTTTGCTCACCCCGACCAGCCTCCAGAGCTGTTCAGCATCTTTCCCCACTGAACCCTCAAGAAGAGGGGCGTGCAATAACAACATCCTAACTTGTTTGTGCCATGAAAGGAGCTGGAAAGAATGCACTGAACCACATGACAAGCGAGGACATCAGGCAGCACAGAGAATAGAAAGACCTCATTTTTAATTACTTCTGAACAAAGTTGGCTCAGTAAAGTATTTCCCATTGTACTGCTGAACTTTTCTTCTCATCACACAGCAGTGAAACGCAGGCTCCTCTGCTGCTGCAAGTGAACTAAAATCAAGTCTGTGTTAGGGATCACTTCATTCCCTATTAAAAGCAGACTACCCATCTATCACCAGCGTTTCAGACTTTTCTGCAGCATCCAGGCACTTCTTTGTCACTGTAGATCTTATCATGAGAGTCCTAAGAAGCAAGAATGTCCCCCCGTCCTTATAGAAAGAGACTGGGGGTTAAGTGCCTCAAGATACCTTCCCCCCATTGCTCCAGGCACGAGTGGTCACAGAAAGGCCATTACAGGGAACTGGCTTGAAGCATTGAGGCTTCTGAAGTCCTAGACTGGTGCTCCAGTCACAGCAAGAAAGAGGGGATGTAAGCGTCAGTATCCACCTGAGATGAGGCACAAACTCTTTATCTACCTAGATATAGCCAAGTTCAACTGATGTGCTAACAGCAGGGCCACAACTGCAACAGGTACAAAATGAATTATTACTTGAGTAAAGGTTCTCATCTTTAAAGCCTGTTAATTCAGACTGCAAGTTCTTCAGGGCACGGACTTTACAGTTTGATTGTCAGTAAAATATCTTGCATAGTCTTGGTCTGGGCCAAAGTAAAATGTAAGCTGGCTTCAGTTCCTCGAGTTTCATTATGAGATCAGAGTCCGAGGATTCACTAAAATATATTGCATTTCAGAGTTCTGTGGACTTAGGGAAAAGTCAGAAGTGACTCATGTATAACCGATGTCTTCCTGAGCATGCAGAGATCCTGAAACAATAGATCTGAGAGATGCAGATTGCCCCATTCACTTTTTCTTCAAAATCTGCTGTTTCCTCAAGTAGGAACTTGGTCAGCCCACAAGAAAAAAATCCACATCATACAGCTAAAGACACCAGAAGGCCATGTAGGCCTTGGGCAGTCTCGCATTATTTAATTAAATAGCAGTTTAGCATCTTGCACTGAAATGTCTTTCAGCTAAAGATGAGCAACTTCCCAAGCAGCAGTAAGGGCCCCATCCTTGTCACTGCTTCCCTTGCTGTCCAAGACAGAAACTGCATTGACTGCAGAGTGCACAGGCTCAAACTCCTGCTATGTTGGTACGTGACACATTTCAAAAAGTATGAGCTGTACCCTCCTCCTCACAGGTAAGCTTACAGAACAGCTTTGCTGCAAGTCATGCTGCTTTTCTGCAGAATGTAAATACCCCAGTTCTTGTTTTCCCCGTGAGAATCCTATAGCAACCCAAAGGTGATTTCTGAGGTCTACTGGTTTTGCCTCCATGTAACCGCTTAGCACTAAACCTCGGCAGAAGCTCTGAACCCTGGTGAGCCTTCTGCAGCTTCAGGCTCTATTTTCAACAGCTGCTGGTACTAATTCCTTCCCTGCAGGTTGTTGCTCCTGAAGCAGAGATGACAGAAATGAACTCGTACCTGCACTTTAGTTGCTACTGATTTGGTGAAGCTACTGGTGCAGATGGGTTTGCAACAGGCTGCCAAACTCTGACCCGGAGTAGCTGCTATTTTGAATTAAAAACATTCATTAATGACTTTAAGACAGCAAGGCCCAAAAGACCTTGCTGTGTATTAATAACCTGGATCAAAAGTGACTACTGAAGTTGGAAATACAACTATCGTAGCATCAACATCATTATTCCAGTCCATTCAAAATGCTAATGAATGGCACATTAGCTTAAGCTCATAGCAATTCTCTTTCTTCTCTGGCCCTAACTACAGTTACATACCTCCATCTAGTTAGTATCTTCTCTGTAGTGTGGTTTGGACAGTTAATTGCCTATTGGGGGAAGTAACAAGATATTAGATAGTACTGTGAAATGTGGCCTCACAATACATGACCAAAAAAAGCAACAGGCTGGAAAAGAACTGCAGAGATCTGCGCACCTGGATGTGGGCCTAGCACAGCTCACCCTGGGGGTTACAGGCAGAACCTCAACTGCAAACAGAAAACCATCTCGACATGTTTGTCCAAACAAAACCAGCCACTGACTGCACGCAGTGTTGAGAGCAAAGCAAGCAAACCTAACACATTTACCTATCACGTAACATGTAAACATACCTGCACTGAAACTTCAGATGTTAAGAAAGAAAATAAGGTAGAGGATGAAATTCCCACAGATTTGACCAGAAAAGGCTGGTTCAATCTGTAACGCAAGAGGGGAAGTTTGAGATGCTGGAAGTTTTCATTGGCAGAATAACTGCTTTTTAACTGCTAAGGTCACCTGGGCATCTTCACCAAAGCAAGCAGTATTGCAAGAGTCAAAAAGAACATCAAATGATCATGTTACTTAATTTGCCATCATTTGGAAGGGGAAGGCAGTGATGTATAATTTTTTTTTTGCTTTTCTTTCCTCTGCTTTCTAAGCTCATGATGTAATGAGTATGTTTAGGTAGTAACATAACCCCTGACTCTTACTCTTGAAGTGCACAACCACTGAAACAAGATGCAGAGGACTCTGCAGTGCTTATGTTTTAATTCAGACTAAGTGATATTGAAAATAATGTTGAGCTGGAGAAAGAGAGAGCATTTTAGAGCACAGCACTTTTTTTCTTTTTTTCTTCCAGAAACCTTTCCTTTGTTGACCTTACAAGAAGTTGAAGCAATGCTTTCCTTGAGCCCCTCTGTACAGAGTATATGATAACGATGAGAACTTTTTATTTAATACTGTATGAAATGTGTGACCCTTGAGGCATAATAACATGCTTAAAATATACTTAACAGTACCCTCTGGCTAAAAAAAGTTTCCAACTCATACTTAAAAAAATATCCATTTAGATGCTTACTTTGACTATGTGCCCAGCATCAATGGCAAAAGTGCTTCTGTTTAGAAAGGATGGTTCAGCCAAAATTCAACTTGTTTTTCAGGAATAGGAAACCGAAGGAAAAAAAAAAGTAATAAAAACCATACCAAATAAATCATCATTCTCCTTTACACCGTAAGTGAATGTTCACATGTATGCACATCTTACTGTTCAAGCTAGTACTTGATCGCACTTTCACAATGAAAATCTGCCAGGGCTGCTGTCTAACCCTCATGACTGTCTGATGTTGTGGGTGCAGGAAGACCACACTGGTGGTGACAAAGGCACAGCAGGAACAGGCTTTGCTACTATCTCCAGCAACTTTTTAAACAACTCCATACCAGGCTAGTCACCCACAAGTTTCGACCGTGGTCTGTCTGCTTTTCATTTCCACTACAATGATTAGTATTAATGTAATTTCACAGAGGCAATGGAATCACACCAAATTATAAGAGACAAGACAGTCAGGAAAAGCATCTATTTTATAATTATCTGCATCCATGAAAAAAGTACCTGAAGCGTTTTGGGGAAAAACAGAGGAGAAATCTCTTGTTCACTTTCCTCTGCCAGACTGAAATAAGACATAAAAGGTTTACAAAGGGCTGAATTAACAAAACAGAACTGAGAAAGGGGCTACCATCTCTTCCACCTGATGATAATAGCTATTACTAGAACTCAGTGGCTGAGCCAGTGTTTCCACCGCTGTTCTTCACAAGAGCACAAAAAGGGCAATCTCTCTCCCTGGCCATTTTTATGAAAAATACGCTGGAAACTCCCAAGAGGCAAACCCCATTTTTTTTAGTAAACAGAACTGTAACCCTTAAGATGGGTTTTCTGCAGCTGGCTTTTAAGCTCACAAGTACAAATTTGCAGGTACAACCTTTAGATGATGGAAGAGAATCACCTCCATACATGTGGCTGCACACAGCTACCCAGGGGCAGGTTTTTGATCCAGGCCTAACAAATGTACACACCGCACAGCAAACCAACCCACGGCCAGCGAAAAACGAATACAGAGAGCGTGGGTACTTTGGGGGTAACTGTTTAGAGAAATGGCCCGTCATCTGTCTTGATAAATAGACTTTGCACGTACAACTGCAGGAATGAGGCAGGCAAGTCAGCTGTGAGATGTATGCCTCGTTTGTTTGAAAAGTTGGCTTTGCACTTTGTTGTTTAGCCTGCAGAAATTAGAGGATACACTAATATCCTTGAAAACTTAGGTTGGCTTCTCACAAAACAATGAAAACAAGCCTATTTTTTTCCCTTCTGTTCATATTCATTTGTGACTATTGATTTCTACTTGCCTTTGTTTCTCTGATTCTTGGCCAGCTCAACTCGCAAAGTATTACCCCCGAGGCTCAAGCCTTTCAAAGAGGATACAGCACTCTCTGCGGTTGCTTTATCCTTGTAATCGAGAAAAGCCCTGTGCTGTGCTCCTTGCCAATTCAGTCGTAAAGGAGTTGCATGGAATTCCCTTAAAGCACTTTTCAGCTCGCTCACTCTTACGCTGGGAGGTATGTTCCCCACATACACAGTAGTAATCATGCCAGATCCCTCTAATCTGGGACTTAAAGAATCACTTTCCACATAATGTTGTCTTATTTGAGCTGAGCCCATAGCAGCCTGCGGTCTTGTATTTTCAGCCATCGCCTTCTCATTTAACACTGCTGGTGTGTTGGCACTTGCCAAGTCTGAATGTTCATCTAGGAGGGTAACATCCTTGCCAGTCTGCTTCTCTCTGTGTCGAAGACTCTTTAGGATGGGGATTTTTCCCAGCATCTCATAGCTGACCTAAAAAGGAGGAAGACAGATACAATTATGAGATTTCTTGCCTTCCAGAAAAAGATGACGACCATCAGGACCCATTTGTGCCATAAAAAGAGAGGAACCTTATTATATTGCTACCATGCGGAGTGCCAGAGCATTCAAAATGTTACTAATTGCTGGCCTGATTCTGAAGTTGCTCCCTAAATACACGCTGCAGGACAAAAATAAACATTAGTTACTCTTCAGGCAAGTGCACAATGTAGATCCAGCAGGAAAATCAAAACCAAACTCAAAACTACTTGATTTTGACGTTTATTTATCAGAGTGCTTTCAGATTTGCATTCTCATTGTTATCCCTCAATATTTGCTTTGACCGAGGGCCTCCGCTCCTGCTCTGGCAGAATCCTACATGCCTACAATTCATCAGACCATCAGGCACTTTCATTCTGCAGACCTCCTTGCACTCTGTTCCCCCAAAACAGGATATCCCGTAGGCTGGGTCATACAATGGGGAGGGACGATGGTGTTAAGCTTGCAGCTGGGGAGCGTGCCTTGTAGCGGGGCTCCTCTGAGTGTGGGCCCAGCTGGAGGCACGTTCTCTGGTTGTGGCACATCACCACAGCCTCCCTCTTGTCATCTGACCTCACACACCACCCGCAGCTACTCATCAGATCCCACATCAGTCTGCTGGCTTGGATCACAGAACGGAAGAGCGCCCGGACACTAGACTTCAAAACTGTGACCCCTCCATCCCTTCCATCCCTCCCCAGTTCACAAGCAGCTTTTCTGGAAGGGCTCTTCCTCTCAACAGCTGAACCCTATCCATCTCAGGCATGAGATGCCCCAGGCTGCACTCAGTGACTGGCAGGAAACGCAGTGGTTCCCTAGCTCATGTGGTCTAGCTCTTGGCTTGCAGACTGCAGTTGGAAGGAGGAATAATTCGTACTTGGCTGCTGGACAAGCAGAACATCCATCAACACAAGATCCAATTCTTAAATTTAGGGAGCAAAACAGAGCCTAGGGAAGCAATGCCCGAGCTAGCAGAGACCCAAGCTAGTAGCCCACACAGTGTGGGCAAGCCACTCTAGCAGGGTACTGCACTCAAGCTTATGAGCCACTACTTCTCAGCAGGCTGTGCTGGACTAGCACCAGCATATCCTGCCTAGAATATGCCTGCAGATCTCCCAGCTCAGATCTCTCTTACCTCAGAGGCCCTGAATTCCTGGTTCTACTATTACAGAGTGAGTTTGGATCTGGCTGCAGCACATAAAGTCTAAAATTTACAGATCTCCTGGGAGACTAGCCCAGCTCTGAAGTGACTCGTGTAAAATCAAAGACAGGCTGGGGGCAATGGTAGGTTTAGGTAACAGGTAAGCCAGTCAACATTAGTCTCTTAAACGTTCCCAGGGCTCCTCTTCTGAGGAGCAAACAAGCAAGTTTTATTTCAGACTGAAACTAAATAGGAAATGTAATTTACATAAAGCCTGTCCTAGCTCTATCTTGTTCATACAATATCAAACAGCAGAATAGGACTAACCAGCACAGGCAGAGGCCACCTCCATTGTGCAACACTGCAGACCCAGAGTCAAGGTGTTTGGGATCAGGCCCTTTAAACAAGCAAACTTTATGACTGAGAACAATTTCTGAACAAATCTGGCCTGATCTGGCAGCCAGTACAGAGAGGCAAGGACTTCCGCTGGGGCTCTGGGAGCCTCCACGCTCCGAAAGGTACATGCCATTTTCAGATTATGAAGAGTTATTGCTCTGTGGATTCTTGGACTGATTTGTTTTTCTCAGCCAAGAATTCAGACTGCTGTGTTTGACAGAAAACTCCCCTTCCCTGGGCGATACAACATCAAACCAATGGCTGAAGCCATCTTACTTTGTTTTTACTGGCCAACAATTAGGAACATTTGTTGTCCTCTGTCAAATTTCTACGTGAAATGTAAGCTCTATGCTAATTAAACCAAACAGGAAAAACATTTTTCTATTCTCATAGAACTAATCACTCCTGGACCCAAAGCACAACCTCAACCTCTTACCAAGTGCACGTACAGTTCCTTTCACCCTGAAAGTAAGCCCAGTTCCCAAGGCATGGACTGGGTGTTTAGTTAGAAAGATCAATGCTACCAAGGGCAAACCCTCACCACTTTGTAGATTAAGGGAATCAAAGAGATGGGCACCGAGAGGATGATCCTGGAACTCCCAGTCTTTCAAGGACAAACCAAGGAGAGGATTTCAATAATCCAGGGGCCAGCATACTCTCTAAGAGGCTTCAACTGGCCAGGCTTCAACACGGTGTCTCCTCTCACTAGAGTGACCAGTAGTTTTTGGCATCTGACTGAAGCTCTTGGAGCTACTGTTTCAGGCTCCCTGCAAACTCAGGAAGACGTAGTTACAACAGCATACGCGTCTTCGTAAGGGCTATGAACTGCTGCCTTCTGTAAAAGCTGAAGCTCTGATCAAACACCACCACCATGAAGTGAATCTATCATTACCTTAAATTCAGTCCTCTGCAGATGTAACAGTAAGTAGCCTTTACAGTACCAAAGCAACAAAGGCAGTCGATTTGGCACTTGGATGTTTTTGTAATAGAAAACATTCTGTAAAAAACCTACATTAGACAAGTTCTGACACTGTTAACCGACACCCTTCTGCCACAAGAGAGACAGAGGATTTACCTCAAGGGCTGTTTTCCCTGGAGTCTAGCAGAATCTTTCAGCTGGGCCAAACCTTCCAAATCCTTCCTTATTTTTCCCCACTTTTATGTCAAGGGAAGGCAGAAACTCGGTTTGGGATTTCAGAGTTTCAATTCAACAAACCAAGTCAGTACCTTTTTTGGGGTGCAGGGGGTGAGAGCCAAAAGGGCAAAGAGGGCAGTGGGTGGCAGAGGAGAGGAAAAAGCTTGCTCTGCTCTGTTGCAAAATAGCAAACAAAAGAACTCTGTGGTAGTACAATGTGTTGCTAATTACGATCATGCAAAAAGTTTCTTTTGTCTTGTGAGCTGTGGAGGATTGCAATGATTTATTTCCATGTGGAGAGAGGCCAAAGATATTCCTCCTCTCTTTCAAACAAGCTGCACGTTTCTTGGTCCTGTGCCGGCTGGTCCCTCCTCCCTAGCCTTGCCTACTGCTTTAGACTGAGCCAGGATGCAAGGGACTTGGGTACTACCCCAAGTCTGGTTGATCCGGTTATGCAGACCTGGGCAAACCCAGTGGTGGAAGCTTCTTCCCTTGCTCCCCCCATCCCTATAAAGTCAAGGCCAAACCATTTATTGATGTTTGTAAACTTTGTATTGAGTGTTGGGATTTAGCTAAATGATTGGCTTTGGCAGCGAAGCCAGCTGAAGAAGTTTCCTATTATCCCTTGACCACCAATTCCCAGGCCAGTTCCATACTTCAGCCCTCTGGGATTGGCCAACAGAAGTGCTTGTGGGTCTGCACTATAAACTCAGTAACTGAAGTGATTCAGGTTAAAAATAACTCCACCAAAGGCAATTAATCATTTAACAATCCTGCCTGCTCCCTTGCCATAGCTGGGAGAGCCTTGGGGAAAGAGGACAGCAGGGTAGATGAATTCTTCTGGCTCACAATTACCAGGCTATGGGAAAGGAGCTGAGAAGGGAAATGTGGCCCCTTTCTGACAGAAACCTGAAGAAAACAGAGTCTTGGATGCCGAGTGCCAATACAAATCTGCCAGCACTTAACCCTGAGCATCCACTCTTACAACACCTGGTCTGGTCCCAAAACAACGTAGTGGCAGATGGACTTCTGCAACGTCTCCGCTGGAACATCAGGGCTCTCTTCAACCTCTGTTATTCCAGAACAGTGAATGTAGCCACTTTCAATATTTTGCTGGGGAAAATGAAAGATGTGTTTGTCCTCTGACAGAATGAGTAATGCTGACCCCTGATACAGTGCAGGCCAAGCCAAACACCACTTTGATTTCCCTGGCAGCAGAGGCGGTGCAGTTCTGATGCATGGTCGATGAGGGAAAGGCAGCTATAGATTGGAGAGCATGCTAGGTCTGCCATTTAATTCTGCTTCACACAGCTACCCATCTGCACACACCAACTGATAAAAAGAACACATGGCTCAGGTTGGAGACAGATGATGCTGCTGCTGCTGCTGCCCTGCCCTGCCACGGAAGGGTGCAAACAAGACCAAACAGTCTTTAGTACAGCAGATCCACCAGCCCCTCCAAGTATTGAGGCTGGTAGGCAGAAGGTGTTTGAAAGATTCATCTTTGGCCACCCTGAGGGGTCTCTGACCCAAGACTGTTCATAAAGGCCTCCAGGAGAGAGCCCACTTCTCGTGTTGTCTCCTTCATCAGTTGCGTGTTTCAAGGAGCACTGAGCTCACAGGGGTTTAAAGCACAGACAAAGCCAAGACAGCTAGGACGGGCCAGCACAGTCGAACATTTTATCATTCATTTGCACAAAATGTCCAAATATGTGCACGCAATCCGAGGGCATATTTCTGGGAGCTGGCAGCCCGTGAAGTCTGCTAGTGTCCCTCAGGAGAAACTTATGCAACCCACATTTGGAATCCATCAGCAAAAAACGATTCCATGGACTCTGCAGCAAGGGTCAGATTTGCAAAGGTGTTGAGACGTTTAACCACACGTGGAAGCATGTCCTGCTTGCGCTATCCCTCCAAAAAACAAAACAAAACCTTGGCTAAACTAACAGCAATTTTCTTCTGATGGCAGTGCTGTGTCCCTGCTAAAGGTTTTGCCAGCTTGAATGTGTGAACTTTTTGAGCTGTAAAACAACATCGCTTTACTTTCCAAATATTCTATCACAAACCCGAATCAAAAGCTGTTTGTTGTCAGATAGTTTCCATCTCTGCCACTGCGTACTGAACTCTTTCAACATTAGACTCAGGGATTTCCCCCCAGTTCATTTCATCTTGGGAAAAATCTTCTACTTCTATAAAATTCTCAGCAAAAGAATAATTTAAAAACCAGAAGGAAATGCTTGCTAGAATATAGCGATTTTTCCACCAACTACTCTCATTTCCCTCTTCATGACCCCAAATATTTTAATTGGTCTGTATAGTTTCAATTTAAAATAAGCACAGCACAAATAACTTCATAACTGTAACAAATATAATAGACAGTGTCACAGATAAAGATCACAGCTACCCATACAAAATACTAAATGAGAAAGTAAGTCACTTCATTAATTTAGAGTTCCCAGAAACAATGGGTTAGATTTTCAAGACAGATGAAGCCAAATAATTCTCCACTGGCATCCAAATAAAGTTTTCCAGAGTGTTCAGCTCTTAGCAGCTCTTGCTGTCCTCCAAGAGCACATACTGATTTCTCAAAACCCTGAACTCAGATGCAGAAAAAACTTACCCATATACGCACTCCAGTACTGCCTTTGTATTTAGAAGTGTTTCTAGAGTGCCTGGCACTGACATTGATAACGCTTCTTTGGCATTAATAATATCGTAGCTCTTATGCTTCCTTGGAAGTCTTTAAATCAGCATTTCTGTGACAAAAATCACACCAAGTAATTCACATCTTCCTGTTTGGAAAAACATACTACCTCGACAGCAAGAAATAGCTCAGCTGGAAATTCTGCACCGAGAAGAACTGAAAGAAGGCAACTGAGGGCAAGTTGTGCCAACTACCCCAAGAAGTGAATCATTCACAGAAGAACACCTATTTACCCCATCCCCATATCTGACACACTACTTCCTTCCTGCATAGTACATACCAAACAAAAACACTCCAGGAAAATGCAGTACCTCCTCCAGCACAGAAATCTAGCCTGGAGACACGCATTTTGTTTGCTGTATAAGCACCTTCTTACCTCTTTTGAGCTGAAAACAGAGTGTATGTATTAATGGCTATTTATCCTAACAGCTTCAGGAAAGCACATCCTTTACAACAATGCTTAGCTGTAATCCCATGTTTGCAAACACCTTTAATTTAAGCTCTTAAATCATTGTCTTGGCTTGATCCAGCCATGTTCCTGAAGGATGAACTTTTTTGCAATGTATTTCACACATCACACATCTTAACAATAAAGTTAAGCTACTTTCTGTTGACAAATCACCATATTTAGAAGTAGGTTATTTATTTACTCACTACCTCTTGGTTCATTTAGTTTTGCTCTGAGGAACAGGAATGCAGCAGTAAAGCCAGGATTTGAAGGAGAAAAGGATGTAGAGAAAAGGATGTAGAAGCAGCCGGGAAAAGTCAAAGGACAAACACTTAAATAGCCCGTATCAAATCCTGCATTTTTAACACCCTGTCGATTAACTAGACCTCCCACCTCCAAGGCCCTCTGTGCAAGAGTTGAACATACAGTTACCACCACAAGCACAAACAAACCACGTACAAGTTGCTCAGCTCCCTGTGAAAGAATAATGCTAATTTCTTTCTTCTTCATATAGACACGACACTTTGTTCCCATCCCAAAACAACAGAAATGTAATGATTATCCCTGCTCTGGCTAGTATCCTCCAATATTCTTATCTAATCAACACAGGCTCTGAAGAGCTGCCAAAAGCAGCTTTAGGTGTTAAATCAACATTCAAATATTTGAGTAAAGGGTCAATCACGTAATGTGCTCCATTCTCAGTGAAAACTGTAGAAAGTTCTGAGCATGCTGTATTTTTCAGACAGCACCACCAATGTAGAGATTACTATGAAAAAAAGTTTCACTGTCTCATGCAAACTGGCTAAAGTCAGTGTGGCGCAAGCTTTAGATACAACTCTGCTAAGCATCTCTCCTCAAGCTTTAGAAACAAGCACAAAGCAGTTGTGTCAGATACTTCATTAGTTTATGAGGCATATATTATAGCGCCGATCCTGATTCTTTTTCTCTGAAAAGCGAAGAAATGCAAAGGTAACATCAAATTTGATACATCGCTTGGGACTGACTGACTTTTTTCATGAGTGGTAAAAGTTTCACAAAAATTCAATGGCCCCTGCAAGAGACCGTGTTCCCCAGACCTTTGAAAAATGTTGCTGCTAAAGGGAATCAGACAGGAAAAATAAAAAAGAAAAAAAAGATTTAGCAAGGCCACTTACTGAGACTGAAGTCTGACAGCAAGACAGGCAGACTGATCAAAAGTATGTTGGCAAGACGGATGGAGCACAAGGAGCAGGCCTTCAAAACAATTACATTCAGTAATATCCTAGAAAAATTATGATTCAAAAATAATTCAATGGAAAAAATGCACTAGTACAGACAGGGCTTTTATTTATTTATTTATAACCTCAAATCCTCAACCACAGGCAGGGTAAAATACTCTCCCACCACAGGAATAAAAATAGTACTGGCTAGAATTGTTTGTTGTAGATATATTACCTTAACAAATTTAACTCTTTTTGCTGTTTGGCAAGCGCTTAACAAACAACTCTTGATTTCCCTAGAAGTATTCACTAATAATTCCTCAGCGGTTTCTGCAAGACATGGGTTTACTATTCCTCATTTCAGTGTCCCTACTGTTACCCAATCACGTGGGATTGCGTCTGCTCCCTAACTGGATGATCTTAGGAATGAAAATCTAATGACAAAGCTTTCCCAGCATGAACTTCCAGTAAAACAATTCACTAAATGCTTTTCTGAAACTATTTGTGAAGCTGCTAAAGTTTCTGACAATCCTGGGCTGGGGTGAGCCAAACTCATGAAACAATATTTATCTATAAATAATGATTCATGATTTAAAGCAGTATAAAGTCACTATTCTTGTACCTGAAAACAAGCTCCAGCCACAAATTCACCTGTCCTTTGAAAGTTAATTCACTACGTAAACAGCAACGTACCAGCCACTACGTCACACTTCCCTTTCGCAACAGGAGCAGCTCATACTCCACCCATTCCACATGGTCTAATGCTGTAAAGTTCTCTCTGTGGTACTGTCCCCAGAAAACGAACAGAGCCAATCTCGGTGAGCACTGAGGAATAAAACACATAAGGTGGAGAAGCCCCTCAGCTTACATAGGCTATTATACTGCCAATGACAACAAGAAACGTCTATCTTAAAAATCCACAAACGTTGTTTCCAGTGGCTCTCACTGGATAATCCATTTGATACAGCAACCTCAGTTTCAGTAATATATTCCTCCTCCTCCTCACCATTACCACTTAAAAACTGCTGAACACAGATGCTGTTGTTTTGTTTCATCTGACAAACACATTTGCTCCTTTTCCAAGTATTTCTAATACAACGAATGTGTTTATATGTAAAAATGGGGGACTTATCAACAGAACGTCAGTACCAGTAAGCCACCATTAGCAGAAGTAACTTGCCTTATGCCATATTATTCCCTGAGGTTTTGGTCGTTTGCAATTAGTCTTGATAGTTCTTGTTGGAGTGAGTATATAATCCACAGTTAAATCATGATCATCAAGAAGCTCTTCTGCTATGTCAACCACCTACAGAAACAAGACATTCGGTAAGTAGTTAAAAAGAAATTCACTAAAAGCGTACACTATTCCTGATGTCTCGCAACATACAAAAATCTGTCAGTGACAGAGGAAACAAAGTAAAGATGCCACACCAACATCATTCCAAGTCTTTTCTTCAGACACACCATTCAGTATCACACAGTTCTGACTCGTCATTTGAGAGTGGATATTTTAACTTACCTGACAGTCATGCACAATAGTAACTACAGGTGTATCCTCCTGCACTGCACCCATTGACACCATCATTGCATATTCCATGTCTGCATAACCTTCCCCTTTTCCAATTCTCCAGCCTAAAATATATAAAAGTAAACAGCAATAGTGAACACAGGAACGGCAGCGTGGAAAGGTTGGTAACTGTCAAAGCATGCAACTAAACTAAGCAGTCTGCAACAAATAAACCAAGCGCAGAGCTGTAACTCAGGAAAAATTCAGATCGGCGCCTCTCACAGAATGCAACTTTCCTTCTAATCAGCACTGAAATTGAAATAAAACATTAGTTTCAATGAACTCCTAAAGGATCCCAGGAGAGTAATAAACCGCTCTGAATAAACCAAATTTAGTCCAATTTAGTTAACATAGAAGCCTATTTACCCATTGCAATTAGAACCCTCTATTCATGTCAAACATAGGTTAACTTCATGTGTGTAAAGAGGAGTCGGGGTCACATACAAAAAGCATGTCATTTTTAGGCAATGGATAAAATCTGTGGAAGATTTTTCACCACCAGCAGGTCTTCAAAATACTAGAAAACACAAAATCTGATCCCTAAATAGGTACTGAATCAGCAGCTGTAACACATGTCTTTTCACACACCCTGTGAGAGCAGAGCAGATCCTCTGCACAGGGAGCCCTCTTCGATTCTTTAAAAAAAAAAAAAAAAAAAAAAATTGCTTGCCTGAATAGTTCTACTGAAGGCCAAAACACTGGCCTGCACACTCTAAACCACACTGCTGTCTGCCCACTAGGTCCTGGCAGCATTGTTGGATAGCAGGCATTGATTCTTCCTGGTTGACTGGGATCAGAGACTTGTCACACAGAAGAGACAGAACTCACGGCTGTAATTCAGTTCCAAAGATATGTTTGGGTCTGTCAAAAGGAACACGTAGTGTAGCCTACTGACATTGTGAATCATGACTTAGGACCCTCCTCCTGAAAAGCTTACAAGGCTTTATCTTACCTTTTTCAGAGACAGCCACTGATCCTACAACAACCAAGTCCACCCGTGCTTTCCCATCAAGACCTACAGGCACACTGTATTCTTTTATACCCTGCAAGAAAAACATAATTTTAGGTTCCCAGAGTGTACAGTCTTCCAACGAGTGAGGCAGAAATCCAGAATATTTTGATAAATCCAAGTAACTCCCCACATTTCAAAGTGTTTCTTCCAAGTATAGCCAAGCTGTACATGTCTGGAAAGTTATCCTCTAGGGAATCCTAGAATAGATTCCCTACTACAGTGACAATAATTTTGGCACACTTCAAGGAGAGCTAAGGGAGGCGGGCACTTTTTTAAGCAAGGTTACTTATTTAGGATCAAGAACTTGTATTTTGAAACCCTTTATGGGACATCTATTTCTAAAAATGAGGGCAAATGACACTTCCTACCCTACTGCTACTAACTTAAAAGTCATAATATGCCCGTGAGGAACTGCACAGCACTACAAATTCTTAAATTAATTCTCACATACAAATCAAAAAGTTAATTTAGACACAGACAGCTACAGCATAAAGATGTTGAGCTGCTTGCCTGAAGTCACACAAAATGCTTTACTGAAGCACCACCAGGTACACGAGCTGGATCACTCTCTATTTCACACTGCATCCACACACAGCCCGTTTCTCCACACCTGTATCTTTAAAAGCACCTTCCAAAGCTGCCCACGTGTTCCCCGAGACTACGTTCCTCAACACTTTGCTGTGTGATCATCACTCAGGATGTGCCCCTGCTAAGCTAAGCTACCTTTGCCAAAACCTCCCATCTAAGACGCTAATCAACAGAAAAGCCCGCTGCTCCTGACAAGTGGAAAGAAAAACCTTACACAGCCCTGTCACCCTTTTTTTCTTCCCCCCTCTCTCCGCTCATCCCCACCCACCCCTCTTCAGGGTCCTCTCTGAAGAGCATATCCTAACAAAATTCTGTCCAGAGCTGCAGAAATTAAAAGCGGTGCTTACTTGGGCTTTCAAACATCAGAGTTTTAGAACTTTTAGAAGTATATCTCATGATTCATTCACTCTTAATATAAGTGCACAGCGTAACATAAATCCTCCTCACACCAATGCAACTTGGTGCCAAGTTAATCCTCACAATAAAAAGCCAAACATTTTCTGTGTAGAGCACAAAACCAAAAAGGTCAGTAATTTGTGGCTGACTATCAGTAATAATGCTCATTATCCACTTCACAGCAGTGTGGTAGGAATTGTTTGCACAGTGCTTTGTAAATATAAACGGCGAATAGCATTTATTCATTGGTACGCCTGGTTGGGGGAAAAGCCAGACACATGGTGGTAAGATCACAGATCAGATATGAGGCCTGAAGCAAGTCAAGAGAAAGGTCTCTTTCAAAAGTGCTCTTCAACCCTGAAAAGCTTAATTAGTTAATGACTATAATAGAACTTCCAACAAAGAAAGTCGCTACTAATTACCATCCATTTACAACCCTCAGCTGTATACAGGCTTACTGTAGAACTATATTGCCTTTAGCAGGAGATACAGAACGAAATAAAACCTACATAGCTGGCCTATTCATTTTATACAAGTTACGTTTTCATATCCAATAAAGACTTGTACAAAATAACGCAGGTTTCTCTGCCAAATGACTTCAGCGGTACAGTATGATATTTTAACACCAGAGGGCAGCAACACACCACACTTCAAAAGAAAACGTATTTTTATACCTCGGTTGACACGAGTGCCAGAACTAACGTTTCTTTAGTCTTAGGATTTTAAAAGAACTGATCTTTCTTATTTTGTTATACCTAATATTCTATTGATGAGATCATGCAAAAACTGTAAACACTAAACTCTTCCTCATAGGGTTTGCCAGCTCAAAACTGCAGAAGAGTATAGAGTACTATTTATTAGAAACCTAAAGATCTAACTCACCTATGAAAGTTGCTCATAATGTTCCAAAAAACATTCACAAAGTAGCGATACCATTCTGTTAATAAAATAGAGCAAAAAGACTAAATCTGCTCGCGATTTAAGTACAAACAAAAGAATTATTAATGGTGGATGTGTACACAAAACCAGGAATAACATACTAGCAGAACAGTATTTCAGGTAGCATCTGGTTTTCCAACTTCTAGTCGGACTAGCATAACACAACACCCTTCCACAAGTTAATTCAGACCTCGCCCATTTTTCATTCCTACCTGAGATGTAGCACATATTCGCAGGATCTCCTTAGTTGCACGTGAAGGTGGAACAATCTTATTGAACAGCCCAGTTCTCAGACGTGGTGTGGGAACCAACAAAGTCTTCCTTGCCTGTGTAACAAAAGAAGTTCTCACATTAAAAAGAGGTGGGCTCATTTTACACTAAAGAAATATTTTTACTGTCCCATAGGTCTCCACGTCGTCAATCATCTTATTTGCTATAGAGCAGTTAGCATCGTTGATTGCGTAGTGCTTGTTGATGAATCCCCTCCAGTACAGCAAAATTCCAGACAAGGTTTTATTTAAGAAACAGATGGCAAGACATACCTATTGGTCTAACGCATATGCCCATAAATAAGCTCCTCATCATATAAGCTAGCGAACACGCAAAGGCCTGAGGTAGGTCTGTCCCTGCGATAAACGTAAGGCAATTTGGGGCAAGGCTACCTTACGTGTTTCGGGGAATAAGAACAGAATGACAGCGAAACAGCTGTTGCTCTGCAGAAACATTAATATCCCCAAACCCTACCTTCACCTTCACCATTTGCCAAAAAGGCAAAGACATCCTTACGTGAGCTACCTCGTGTGGCTTAGGGCTGGTAAAGCTCCCACCAGAGAAATGGCAGGCGTTGACCATGAGATGCTGCCAAGCGCTGCACTGCTGTCCCACTCTCCTCCTCAGGGGTGCAAAGGTGCCGTTACCTGCAGCGCAGCTAGCCGAACACCTTCTAGAGGTTTGTCAGGATCCACTTTAATCTCACGTGCTCTGTTGAACACATCCAGCTCTCTGATAGAGCAGCAAGCCTGGTGAGACCCCTGCGTGAAGAAAGGAATCAAGAGAGAAGGGAATACGTTCACTTACTTCCAGTGTTAGAAAGCGAGCATTCTTCTGGGGAGCATCGGGATTAATTTTTACAGTTTTGGCAGCTTTGAACTCCTGTAAACCCAGAAGCTTTGTCGCAGCATGGGAGGCACCCTGTTTTCACAAGATATCAGCGCATCACCAAGGAGTTCACAGCAGAGATGGGCAATTTACAATCTTTCATCCTATAGAGAGGCTGATTTCCCCAGATTTTAAATATGAGGGACATACTGCTAATTTTGCAGTGTTCTCTATGGGAAACTTTCACTTACTAACAGATACTGAGTGCTTGACTAATCTCTCGCAGGCCTCAGAAAAAGAGGGGATCCAAGTACTCTCACTTTGCCAGACTTCACCCTCATTCACACCTAACTCAAAGCTGGAAACTAATTTCCCTTTTCAGTCGATGAATGCAAACAGATTCTTTTAAACACAAGTCACAGTCAGAGATTCTTTTAGATGAAGGCTTTCTGGACAAGGTTCTCTCTTCACAGAGCCTACACTGAGCTCAGAAGATTCCCAGATTCCCTTCCCAACTGAGTAAGGTGTTCAAGCTTAGCAAAGCACACACTCCCCTTGTAATTTCAGCTCTGATATCCCCTTTCTTCAGGGTGTGATGAAGCTTCAGGCTTCCTCCCCCTGCTTCGGCACCTATTTTACCTCAGCACCAAACTAAGGCAGAATGTTTCTGCCAGTCCCTTGAGCAAAAGCAGAGCCAACCTCCTAATGCTGCTCATGGGCTAAAACACCCAGCACGCATGCCCACAATGCTATTTCAGACATCCATTTCTTCAGCACTTGGCAGAAACGTGGCTGCATACCTTGAGCTTGGATTAAAATAGGCAGGCGGTAAAGCGGTGGCCTGAATAACTGAATACTCGAAAGTCTTCTTGTTTCTTCTTCCCACCCATCAAACTAGGGACACAATGAAGCCAGAGCAGGAGGAAGGGGTCTCCCACCACTGCCCAGCAACACGCTGCCAGCAATAACTTGGCCACCGTTTGCATTTCAGCAGCACACTGCGTGTTCCTGGGCTAAGCCCCACAAGACGGGTGACCTCAGCTTTCCATCCCAATGGACCCGCTGAAGGCCCTGGGGAGTGAAATCCAGTTCCGAATGCCTCAGTTTCCCCACCCGTGAATATATTTAATCTCATTCACGAGGTGCTTTCGTACCCACTGATTCAAACACAGCAACACACCTGCCACGCCTCGTCAGCTACAGAGACCTGCCATTCTTTACTCGTTATGAATGACAGAAGCGTGCTGTTTGCACGGGGGCCTTTTTCAGAGCTCCGCCACCTTCTACCCTCACTCACCACCCCCACAGCCCGCAGGAACCTGCGGTTCACAGCTGCCTCTCTGAAAGCTGCAGCGACGGGCGGGGAGCAGGCGGGGGGGGGAGGTTCTCCAGAGCCCGCAGATGGGGTCCCGAGGCCGGGGGAAGAAGAAAGAAGCGGCCCAGTCCCTCAAGGCGGATCGCCGTACCTTGAAGTTGGGGATGCGGCGGTGCACCGGCCGCGGGAAATCGGCCAGGCCGCTGGCCTCCAGGTAGTCCCACACCTTCTCCCGGACGTCCCCCTTGGAAGCACCTAGAGGAGGGCAGAGCCGAGAGGACGGGCGGGCGCCTCACGGGGGAGCACCGCGACCGCCGGGCCGGGCCCCTCCATTTCCCGCCCATTCCCTTCTC